AGAGTCACAGATAAAGTGTGTTCATCTGAGATCACACTTCTCCGTCACGGATCGTTCTGCGTTACTTTTTTCTTCGATGAGCACGCATTTATGTGAGTGTTTCTGCCTGACTGATTACTTGTCTGACGGAGCAGATTGAGTCGACCGATCACGTGTACATCATTCTGTATCGGATAATGTACAACCATAGCTGTTCGGTGTTTTGCATGCACACATGTGCAACCAAGATCATATATACATAGGTTGTCTGCGGTTACTTATGCACTATCCGACGAGATAGAGAGTACCGATAAAAAGAGGTAGATTCTGGTCGGCTTTGTTAAATAGCATAGTCTCACGTAAATGGATGACCAGAGGTCAAAGGAAGGTGAAAACGTCACAATTTCATGCCAGAGCAAAAACGAATCAAGTTCTTAAATGAAATAGCAATTTGAGAACAGAGATTTATAGAACCATCGTAGAATGTATCAAATTTCAGCCGCTACACATGTCAGCAAATTTATTTTCAGAAAATCATATGCAGGAATGAATCGACATTTACGCCGAATTGTCATCGGGNTTTGGTTGGACTATTATCAGGTAATTTACATTTGGTGAAAAGTACACCTATGAGTCCTTCGATGTATTATTGATAATTTTAAATCCCGTGTAGTAACGTGGAAAATGCAAGACCCACGATACCGAAAGAAGTCGCCGGTTTTGAGTAGCATTTAGTCAAAACTAAGAAATATTTACGTGGACTCATACGTAATATACTATACAGGCGGCAAATTTAACAAAGCATCAAATAAAAAGCCTTGACTAGAAGCAATTTGCATTATTTATTCTTTGTAAGGTTTCAACAACGGTGCACCCACGGGAATTCATGATCAATGGAAGCGACCGATGGGCCACGCAATGTTCAATTGTATGCTCAGTTTAATAACTGCGTAATATCTTCTACACACGGTATCACATTATTCATATCTGCATTTTTCGGAAAGCCGATTAAACTAACTTGTCTTAGTGATGATCTAATACAAAGTCGCTGTGGATACCATTTTACCGCCATTCACTTCTACATCTCTAACGAAAAATTTGATGGGTTTTTCAGTTTCATCGCTGTAAACCCTTTCATATTTCTCCAATGAAGTTCTTCGACTTCAGTACTTGGAGTTTCTTACATCGGAAAATACCGATGGGAGCAGTAAATCAAGCTATTATTTGCCCTCAACGACAAAACCAGTAAAATTTGTCTCCATGAATTTCCTAGGAAAAATCGCATACCAAAGGACTTCATAGAGCAAACATTGACTCGGATGTGACTAATTCTCTCAGTATATCTGATGTTAGACAAATAAACCTTACATTAAGAACCAAACATTTCGAGTTTACGGGATTTTTGTGCAAATCTCATGCTTCACAGTTGAACAAAACATTTAACTGCAGCAGTACACACCAATCACATTCTACCTCCAATAAAACGTTACCTTATGTTTCAATGTATGCTACACTTCGGGGCCTTATTGGCCGCCGCTCACGGAGATCGTATTGACGAGATCCCATGAGTATCACAATTAAGGTAATGATCAATACTATTCAGACCATTTTGTGAAAGTTCACTCTCCTGAGTGCCAAAGGGTGACCAAAGAAGATACTCATTTGTCGAAGGAGCCATTAGTATGAACTTCTTTGACTCTTCGACTAAAGTAAATCAACTACCGAATCAGATCAGCAGCGTGTAAATGTGATGTCGTACAAGAACGTTAAGAACGTTAATACATGCCCCAGCCTAAGTAATCTATTGAAGCTGAATACTTACCTTAGTGAGTGATTACGATTACCTATAACTCCGCATTTTTCTTCTGCATTACTTATTGGGTTGTTTCGCCAGACTGATAAAATATGGTAAAGATGGCGGTGTACAAAAATATCAGTTCATTTTCGTCCTCTTTTCGTAACGATGAAGCTTCTGTAACCTACAGTAGCATCGGCTGCGCTGATGTAGCGTGCAATCAATCGCTCATATGTAGTTGAACGTCCCGGAAGCACTATTGATGTCGCGTTTTAATAAACGCCAACCGAGAACTTTGTACGCATACCAATAATTGATCAGTGATGTGTCCACTAAGTGAGGTGTAGCTGATTAAGTAGCTAATTTGTCTACCTACTCTGTGGTCCACTAGCTGAACCAACACTTAAGCCGTGCAGAACGTACGCCAAACGAAGCAGCACTATCACTCCAACCATGCTTAAAGCTTTTACTTTACATAAATCAATTAATTATAAAACTTTGCCTGCATATTCCAGGTGAGATAAACTTCCATATTCTCGTAAATCGGTGAAAAGACTGATCCACGCCATTCATGGGATACCTGCTTCATTACCCTTAGTAAACTCATTAGGTACGTCGACTGCAAGATCAAAGCCTAATCTCCATCCTTAAAAAACGATGGGGACAAGCCTTCAGGCCGGAGTCCTTTTCTGATTAACCTCCATTTCAGATGGAGGACTGACATCAGCTGGCAGAAAAGCAGGAATGATGTCGAGAGAAGCCAGTTGAATAGCGCTATAAACTGTGTGGTCAACCGTTTGGATGAAACAGTGTGTCGTCGGAATTCTTAATTACCCGTAATTCCGTATTCCTAATTAGATGAAAACGTTTACAACCTACAAATATCTACGGCCTTATACATCTCTCTAAATTTTGCTGCTCACCTCTTCTCTTAATCATTTATCCACCTCTTGATGATATGGGTTCTAAAGGACTTACACGTGAAGTAAGACTTAACATCCTCATGAAAGATTATAAAAATGCCCCTAGGACAGCACAGATTGATAAGATCCATCGCTTTTGTTCAAAACCTGTACGAAAATTCATCTTTATGATAAACATCTCAATGATTTCCTCAATCGCCATTTGTTGCTCAGTGGTTCTTTCGAAACTGAGTGAACTGAGTGAAAAGAAAATGAAAAGACTCTGCTTAGAAGATTATTTTACAGATGACAATGCGATCGATTAAAGTTGATCGCTCAGGAGAGTGAGATAGTTTCCAGTAAACACAGGATACTTTCTTAAAAATAAGCTGATAGTTGATAAAAATACTCATTTTCTGTGAAAACTCGAAGTAATCGATTTTCGTTGTCCATCTCACTGACTGGGATTGAATATGCGCTGACTGCGCAGGTCTCTGATTCACTCAAAACTCTACGTGAGGTTTGAAGTCACTGGCGACAACTAAAATATCCCCTTTACTCTTGGGCTATCGTGAGGGATCATTATAGAAATCCTTCTTAACTTCTGGTGCACCGCAATCAGTCGGTGTATATAGGGACGAGACGAATGAGCAGCAAAAAATCGTTTTGTTACTGCTCACCAGCATCAAATCATACAAATGTACAATGTGCAGTGTGATATCTACTGGAATCCAGGTAAAAAGCTAGTTCTCAGCCTGGATACGCCTCGGAATCCCGACGGTGAACATCAGATGCCAAATCGCCTGATACACAAAGATTGAAGTGTGAGCAAGAATGAAGTGTGTTTATTGATATAGGGCTTTTTGTGCGTGCTTCGGAGATATAGCAAACGCCTAAATTAGAAGGTTCAAGGGTTCCAGCTATAATGAGAGTTACTCAGGAGGTTTAGTCAATCCATGGGTACCTGATTGAATTACGTTACTAAGTAAACTTTAAGTGATATAACATGAGTGCTAGAAATATGAAGCGTCTTATATGATTTGAACTGGGACGAGGAAGTAGATAGACGAGAAAGATAGTTTATGAAGTGGGTGTCTGAGACTTTTAGGGCACAACATGCTTCATAATAGCCTAAATCAACGAAGTATCCTTGCTTTAGGAGCCTTTGACACAAACGTGTAACCTGCAAGGCGGTGGGGAGTGGATCAAATGCGTGGGGATGGTGGAATTACCCGTGCGGGAGCTTCGAGAGACCTAACAGGCAAGATCTTCAGGTTTCACTTTGGTGTTTTGTTCGTTGGTGTTTTGGTTGTGGTTCCGCCATCCGGTATCGGCAGTCGCTCTCATGAACTCTATGAGGCATATGCACTGCGGACGGGATAGGACCTTACTGGCTGAAGGCTATCCAGTCTGACTGGGCGGCGGCTGCCAAACGAATTATGAAGACTTTTCCCACTGTCGGAGGCAAGTCTCAGATACCTCACTTATGCGCTCACATAAAAACTTATTGACTGCCCGTTACAATTATGTAGGAGTTATTTGCATTCATTGATCTGGATTTGATCGTATCAGCCTATATACAGGAAGTATGCTATATTGGTTTACCTGATACTCATCCTGGCTATATGATTAACGCGCTTCATATTTGTTCAAGTTACATTTTTGGCGAAGAGAATTTCTTGAGATACGTGGAAAACGGCGAGTGGTCTTGATGGTATTTGGGTTTCGAGAATAATGGCTAGATGCACGAGCTCCACTGTTTCGACACATCCATATTACCCAGTGTCTCTAACTATGATCAACATTCCAAATTGGCATGCCAAAACCAGCAACCAAAAACCGGCACACGTAAGGGCATGGTTAACGATTGTAAAAACTGAAAGCTAAAACTAGGAACTTGACTGCATTTTGCGAGCTATTTTGACATAGCAAGCTTAACCATTTAACCAAAACAATTGAGGCCATACACCCATTTACAGTGTTTCGAAAGTGAATAAATCAGTTTTCGTTTTGCTTAAAGATAGTGGGTCGAGGCCATATATTGCACGTAGGTGTGAAAATGGGTAAAAACACACGTTGGTCGATCAGCTTATTGATTAGTTCCTCGATTGGTTGACTGGTCAGTTGGGGGAAAGGATAGTGAGGGCTCGATCGCGGGGATCATGAGTGTACACATGTGTGCTTGTGTGAATTTTGGATACACCAGGTTGACCACATTGGTCTGACCACCGAGGGAGATGCCTGACCGATTTCATGACGTGTTGGCTGAAAGTTTGGTGGACCTTGTGTTCACATTCAGTGGTGTCTCGAGGTGAATAAATGGGCTAGGGCGAGTAAGCAGACAGACAGACGATTATATCGATGCGCTGGCCAATGGCCTGTGAACCCATATAATTTCTCTCAACTGGTTTGCATGTCTGTATGAGGAATACTAACCCAAGATTTCTGGGGATGAACCATGGTGCCGGTAAGTCACCGGTCTGAGAACAGAACCAAAAGGTTTAATTATCGGTATGCTAATGCTCCGTACACATTTTAGTGCTGCTGCTGCCGCTACTACTACTACAACAAATATTATCAGTATTATTGTTATTATTATTACTTTTATTATTATTATTATTATTATTATTATTATTAGTAGTAGTAGTAGTAGTAGTAGTAGCAGTAGTATCAGCAGCAGCAGTATTATTATTCCGCTTTGCCCATACGCCTCTCAAATCAGTTCTTCAGTGGGCAAACCCATACGTAATTTAGATTGGTACGAAAAATACGGGCATGATTGCTTGTTTGGTCCTAGTAGAATCGTGAGCTGAGCTTCATACAGGTTTAAGAATAAGCCTTTTAAATTGATACGCAAAACGTGTTTGATCTACTAGTTTAGTCAACCTGAATAAGGTGTTTCTTGAGATACTACTTTTTGTTTGGATGGAATTAAATTTTTCCATTCACATTTGTCTTCATCCGAGAGCCGTGCGCCCGAGTAGAATGAATAAAACTGATATTCAAACTTCAGCTGGACAAGCATGTCTTACTGATTTATGAACTTCCGTTGAGAGAGAACGAAGGAAGGTGATGAAATAGTCCGAACACATCAAATGGTTTTTAAACATGAACAGATTATTGCAACAATGATTTGCTAACGACATCACCTGCGCAAACATGCCTGTTACGCTAATGGTTCCCTCGACGTGCAGTTGTTTCTAAGCTACCAATCATGACTCACTTTGAAAACGAATGATTTGGCGCGGATGATGACGATGACATGAACAACTGGTGGCACGTGCTCACACAAAAACAAACACATGGTTTTTAGAAAATCAATACGAACAATCTAAAGTGGTTCTTCGATTGTTGAGTGCACAAACAACAAAATCAGCAAAAGGTTTTCCGACGTAGCATATCGAACGAAACGGAACAAAACCGCAATCTCAAAATGATGCTAAAAGGGTAGAAAACTTACCACAGGCACAGAGGACTTTTCAGTTTCAACCATGTAGGCACTCATCTCTACCAATCGCATTTTAGGCGCAGTGATAGACCTTTGAGCCCACCCATGTGCAGACCAGTGGGGGAGGAACTGGACAAACATAGCAGCCATTGATAAATCCTTCTGTTCAGATTGTGCGGCTTGCAGGATGGAGTTGGGTATTTCTTCGTTCAAATGCATCGATGGGTAACCGTTTTCTCCCTCTGGCTTAATTCCGTAACTCATGGGCCCCTCCGAAACTGGAGGCCGTAACAGAGCTGTATTTGCATCTGATGAAGAATTGGGTACCAGAGAAACCGAGATATAGGAGCAAGCTTCTCCATCATCGGAGTCTAGCTTTTTACTACTATTCACAGTGTGATTATTTATAATTGAGACAGGCGCGAAGGAATAGGGCGTCGATCGATCCCCGATAAATTCCGATGCTTTGACTGTACCGGTGGAAACTTCTTCCAAACCAACAGATTTATTTTGCGCCGTAGCATTTATTGTCAAATCAGTCGGACTTAAGAGTGTCGAAGACGAGGAGGAGGAAGAGGCTGCAGTTGGGGCATTGTTGTTGGATTTAGGCCATACAGATACATTGTTTTGATTTGCGTAGGCAGCTACCGCCATGACCACGGATGGGTGAATGGTGGAAGAGGCAATATGTCCTAGACATCCCGCACCTGTTGTTCCACCTTCTGACACCAGGGGTAAGGATGCAAGAGAGGAAATTGAAGAGGAAGTAGATGCCGTGGATAAGGAGGAAAGAGCCTCCAAAGAAGGTTGACCTAATTGTGAAGATAAAGGTTTGGGGTTTCCCAGCATTGAAACCGGGTTAGAAGCGGGATAAAATAGTGAACTAAGGTTTCCGTTGGCAAGACTGCGATTTGAATTATTGTTGTTGCCACAGCTACCGCTGTTTAGTCGTTGTAATCCAGATGAATCTGAAGAAAGCTGCTTTCCCGAAACCGAGTTCGAGTTCGAATTAGTTTTTAGAGGCAGTGGTTCTCGTTGATCCCCCCCTGGTACAGTACGGGAATCACCAGTCAAACTGAACGCTAAGGGAGGATAGTTTGGAATTGAACCTGTTGATGGGGACAGTTGTATCATATCTGATGTAGAATTGGCCATGGATGGATGTTTGGAACGCAGTGCAGAGAGGGCTTCGTAGGAGTTGACCAACGATTCAGATGAGAGGTTCAAACGACCATGGTTTGTTGTTGATCCACTCGTATTATTCTTGATCTCACTCAATGGTCCGGGGATGCCACCAGTCACGGGTAGTAGATTGTGTCCCAACGCGTTTTGATTTGAACCAAATGGCGGTGGGGGAACAATTCGGTTGGATGTACGTGAGGAAAATTCATCTAAAAAAGAAAAAGTGGTGGAACGAAAAAGCTTTCAGGACGGATTTTTAAGCAGGGTTTTGCGTTCGACAAATCGAAAAATATCTTCATGATAATACTGTTTGCCAAATTGTGCAATATAACACCAATAATGTATAAATACAATGAAACCGAATTACCTACAAAAGTCAGACAAATACTGTAGCCAGTAGCTTTCGAGTGCTTATTGAAGCAAGTAAAAAGCCAACATGCATTCTATATCCATATAATTCGCTTGAGCTGGAGCGACAGAAGCTCTCCTATTGAACTCATTTTAATTGAATACATGCATACGCACAAAGTGGGATCATAACGAAGACAGAATGTTTGATGAAATCTGTCATAAGCGGTTCTTTGTTTTTGAACGAATTATAGATGGATTCCGGGCACGGGAAATTTGGAGGAATAAAGATAATTGACCGAGTCCGAATTTTCATGTCTGATACCATACGGGTATTTTCCAGTACGATGAATGACCACACGCAAATTGACATGGGGTATATACAGCAAGTTAATATAGGTCACTGACCAAGTAACTGTGATCACCAGATAGATCAACATGCGATGCTTCAATGAATATGCAAATAAGTTGAAATAATAAGATGTAATGTAGGGTCCAACTATTTCATGGAAGGAGACTCAATTCGAGCAGTGCTTACTTGCTGAACTTCGGTTTTCCATGAACAAATTCGCAGGCAAACCAGGTTTTTGTGATACATCAATGCCGTTTGCCAGTTGGCTTTTCAGTTCCGTGTCCAAATAAACACCATTTGGTTGCCGGAACAAGCTACTTATGGCCTGACTATCATGCAAAGATGATGAAGCCTGTGAATACGATCCGATTCGATCATGTCCAAATGGGCCGGTATCCAAAGCATCCGTTAGGTGACCTCCATTGCTAATACCAGTAGTGGAAATAACATTACCGGTCACAGGGCGGGAACCGGGTCCGTGCGCCCCCGGGTGGTTTGAAGTTCGATGAAAACTAAGAGAATTGTTGGAATCTCCAGATACGATGGGCAGAGTCTTGGAACCAAACACACCTCCGGAAACTATCTGCGCAGAACTCAACATAGATAATTGCATTATGGTACGTTGCTTCGTATCTGGGTCTTTGATTTGGGCCTGTAATTCCTTCGAGCGTCTTCGAGCTAAAACCTGTATGTGACTGGAAACTTGTTTACGGCTGCGAATTTTTCCTGTGTGTTGGTAGATGTAACGAGCAATCAATTCGTTCCGACCTGAGTAGGCAGAGACGGAGAGAGTGTTTGGTAAATTAAAAGAGTATTGGCTCCGTACAATATCATTTTGATTAATAATCAGTACCAATTTTTCGATTGCAATTGGGACTTCAACCCAGAAAAAAGTGTTGCTCTTTACTTCAAGACCACCAAAGAAAAATCCACAACGGTGTATCAATTAAATTGACTTTGGTGAAACCGGTGGGGTATCATGAAGCTAATTATTTTCTCAGCTTTCTTCCCACCCCTCCAAGAAGAATATTTTCTATGTTACTTGGTAACGAATGAAATAACGGAGTGATAATGTAAGGCATCGCACAATCAGTCGAATTTAGGGAGATCTGGTTGGGAGGGTCATGTTTTGAAGTTCCGTAATTCTGTTGAAGGAACAAATCAATTATTTGAGAAACAAAAATCTGTATTGCACTCATTCTAAATCAGAATGGCAGATTCCATATAGTTACTCCTGGCGAACTGTTTTTCGTGGACGTTTGAGAACATGGTGCACCACCAATTTTTGAAACAAGGCGTGTTTTCTCCATTCACAAATGGGTTATCTCACTAATGCCACTTACTACTAATTTGTAGCGCTCCGTTCTGTGCTATTTAACTCCTGGCTTACTGTGGAAAAATCCTAGTGAAGTAACGTGAGTAGGTAAATATTTTCTCTCTGGATTAGCAACATAGATGCCGGAAAAGCCGACCCGGGTTACCTACCTGCTGTTTGCTCAATGTGAGTAAACAAAGCACGTTTAACATAGATGCACAATAAACACATTTTATCTTAACTTCGACAAAGCATTACCTCGTTGAAACTTAAATTCTGCTGCTAAAAAGTCACTCTAGGTGTAATGCTTCGATGACTCTAAGCTATTAACTAAAGCCATAACACGATAGTTGGCGGTTCTGGTATTCTTTTTGATACTTTCGACGGTATACAGGAATTTTCAAAGGAGTTATCTTTTAGTCTCCGACTTTTTACTTGGTTCACAAAATAATTTACCGTGTTTTGGGACTATAGACAACGGTTTCTGTAGAAAATGATAAAACGCAGATAGAAACTCCATAATATTGGTGTTTCCCGTTCGTCAAAGTAACTCAACATTGGTCTCTCTAAAACCACATTGAGTTCACGTCAATTTTTCCTAGATTTCATCCGCGGTTACCAAGTGTGCCATCACACTCAATAGTGTCCTGGTCGATTTGAGACACCCATGTTATCCCACCTGTTATTACTCCATTTTCGACCGTACAGAGAGTACCCTTTTTGGCTCCGAATTCATATCTGTACGGTTATGGAACGAACCGTTAATGATTTGCCACCGATGTACTGCATTCCAGTATCTATTAGCAGAGCTTACAATCATTGTACCGAATTTAAGACTCTTGACGTTGATTTATCAAATATTGCCGAACATGAGCTACTCGACGTCCAGTGCCAACAACAACAACAACAACAACAGCAACAACAACAACAACAACACTGTTGTCTAATCACCAATTCTAGGGATATTTATTCTAGCTGGTCTTCCAAAAGTGGCGACTGTCACAGTACAATTGTTGCTCCGTCGGAGTGTATTTCAGTTGAGTATATTCACATCCCACAGCATCCATGCTGTAGTACAAATTCATTTCGAACTGGGCCTGGGCGAAGCGTAGTTGTGACTTATAATTCTAGACCCGTGAAATTACGTGAACCTATCATGAAAATAATACTACGCAGAATGTGAGATTGTATATAGGTTGCTCTCCTAGTTGATTAATTACTCACTTCATCCGTTCAAATTTCCTATTGGACAAGAAAAGCACATCTTAAAACTAGTTCTTATAGCACGACTCTAGTCTTTACTGCGTATTCACTAGTGCATTACAATCCTTCATCCAGTGACAATAATTTGATGCCTAGCTTTTTGCTTAAAATTATTAACAGAAGGTACCATAACACCAAAAAATGGTACTGCTTGAGTAAAAAGCAACTGAAACAATAGGTGACACGCAAATGGAAAGGATAAACATGGGCTTTCAGGATGTGGCTGTAGTTGGTAAAGGTAACTACAAAAAGTGTGAATCATTGTAACAAGCACCTCAATATCGCTAATCACAAGAATCTTTACAAGGAAGTGATATGACATGCAAATGTATTTGGAAAATACAACAGTATAATCCCACAGTTAAAAAACGGGCCTGAGCGCTTTATTCTATTCGCCAATTCGGTTGTGGGAGTCATGATAAGGTGAAAATGGTGTTTTTGGAAATTCTGGAACCTATGGATCTTGTAATTGTTAGTGGTAATTTACTTCGCCCTGGTGTTTACTTCAAGAAATGTTAATTATTCTCAAAGCTTGACATTAAGAACAGTTTTACTAGACACCTGAAACAAGTATTGAACATAAAAGTTGTGTTTTCCTTTTGGGTTGCCTATGACACTCAAAATTGACCTGATGATAAAGTGTTCCTAATTTAATTGTCAAGCTCGATAAATAAACAAACCTGAGAGGTGTGGCCAAGTATTTTTGCCAGTTGGCTACTTTTCATCTGAACGAGTTTCAAAATTTTGCAGATCCAATTAGAGAAGTTTGACAGAGAAACCAAAGCTTGGGTCACAGCGTAAAGTGAACTAAAACCTCATCTATCAAAACATTCTTTATATAAAGTATTGTCTATGAATTACCCAAACGTGCCAAACTTGATCGAAACCCAGAAGAATGAAATGACGATTTAGGCCAAACCTCTACAGTATCGTGAACTACTCAATTATCACCAGAGACATCAATCTTATAGCATTCCATATGCGTGAGGTAAATTGTTTTTTCTTTACCGATAATAATGAATACCTTGTCTGGTGCGAGGATGCAAGTAAACAATACAACCAACCAGCTAGATGAAACATACCAGTCTACCTGGACTGATCAGTTTTTAAGGAGCTGATAAAACAGCGAGTCGCGGATCACCCAATTAGCAGTAGGCGAAATGCAGAAACTATAGGGATGTTAAATATGGTTTTTCGGACAACTAACACCATGTTAACTGGAAAAACCTTCTCATTATCAATCTCCTTTCGTGTCCCTAATAAGCAACCATATCCGGGTTCCACAGCAGCGGATAGCGCAATTGTGATGGGTAGGTAGAAAACCTAATAGAAAGGGCAAAACCCATCCCCTGTAAATGCTCTACAAACAACCAAAATAGTCAAAGCTGGTCTTTCACTTGAACCGGTTCACAAACCTTGAATAAGTTGAACCACTTTGGGCACCGTTGGTGAATATCGCCTAGTGATTTTAGTTCGACTCGTGAAACATTGCGAAAATGCATTTCTCCACATGCGGCTGTAGTTTCTATAACACACCGGTTACTAATGCCTTTGGGTAAGCCTGATACAGCTAAATCAAGAATGAATGCATGACCTTTTCAGTCAGTATTGTAACAAAAAGGTGAAGGTGCATTCGCACAGACAAATATAATATTATACACAAAATAGGCATGTAACACATATTAAAATAAACAAACGTGTACATCGCACGATTACATGAAATCATTGCATTATTTTAAGCATTTAAAACTAAGGGTGAAAAGCGAAGATAATCAGAGATGCGATACTGCAATTGCGATGTTGCAATTCGCAACAGTTCACAGTTTAACAGACAAACATTTTCAGTAAATGCAAACGTAGAAAAGCATTGTGGCATTACTGATGAGCCAGAGCTATACGCGAAATGTGTTTTCATACTCCATCAGACTGGCGAGGTTCTCTTAGTAAAACAGTAATTACTTCAGTTTCACGCACTCTGTATATGAACAATTCAAATTTCAAATGTTGGAAGGAAAATGAACAAAGACTACAAAGGAATTGAGTAACAAGCGTAGTTGAACGGATGCGTTGGAATTCGATATTACGAACTAAAGAATTTATAAGATAGCAACATGTTTTCCTGAATTACACAAAGGAAAAGCTCAAACTGGAAGACTGGGGAAAAAGCGAATTCATTGAATTCACTTAGTCACTACGGTTATCCAACATTATCGTATGAGTTCACAAAATAAAGAGATAAGTAAATGGTGATTTGATTCCAGACAGGTTGGCGATATTGCACACAAATTTGTTGTGTAATTCTTTCATAATTTCACAGAAAGGAACATCACAACATCAATTGACCTGAGTTTCAAATTCTTCTCAGGCTATTTGGTAAAACTGACATACGTAAATAAAATGCATTTGTTTTAAAGTGGCCAAAATTGCGATGCAGATGAAAAACGATACTGTCTCCAACGTATTTATGGAGTAAGTCAGACTGATTCGTAAGTACATGCCGTAGGTGTTCAACTACATCAGTGAAGTGTAAACCCATACAATCCTTGTCCACAGTTTACTTATCGATTTACTGAACCAATTGGAGGGGGTTGAGTTTATAGTACGGTGATAGGGGAGCGTATTTTAGTACACTGGTCGACCTGGGGCCTCAAAAAACATTCGTACAGATTCACCTGATGAAACAATGAAATATGAATCGATAACTTTCTAACTAACATACATCACGGCCGTGTTTGATTCGTCCTGTCAAGAGGTCGTGTACGCCTGCTTGCGTATGCATTTGTATGCACTGATGTAGCTACGGGTATTGAACAATGTAGCTGTGAGTGCAAAATTCGCTATTTAGTGAACATGCTCTCTCTTCTTGGCTCAAGAAGTACTGCCACGGTTTCTGTGTTTGCTTGCGCATTTGTGCTTGCATGCGTGCCAAGTAGACCGCAAAATCCATCTAACTCTCTTTATATTAGACTGGGGAATGCTGAGTACAGCAGAATATCGTACGTTTATCTTTATGCGACATGCTACGAAAACAAAGTGTAGATGATGAGCCAAAAGTGACTCACTACCATCAACGTAGTGTGAAAGTCTTACCTTACGATCATTCATCTTCAACGGCAGTATTGTTTATCATGATCAGCAAGCACATTCTCTGTTGTGCTTAATTTTATAGGACGGGAGCCAAGAATGCATACAGCGCATACCACTCAATAGCGGTAGCAACGCTGTAGAAGGAAGTTCAAGCTACGGTAACTAAACTACATAAAAAATCATTTATTAGGCACAATTAGCCATCAAAGTATCATTCTGACGTGTATGNAAATGGACTCGGTCGATTAGATCAATGATATAGGGTGAGATGATCAGATTTAGAGTACCGTGTTACTTAGGCACCAATAAAAAGTACTTATCCGATTTTCATTATAATATTTCAGCTATCTTTTCATCATGAATGAACAGCTCGCGAAATGAACAGATCAAACGCGATTATTACATGGAAATGCGCTTGATCGATAAGTTGACCGGACCGCTTGGCCGATCGACTGACTGATTTCTGGACCATCAACATATAATCCCTAGAAGAAACAAAGCACGCCAAACATGAACGGAATGCTCTTTCATTCCTACATTCCTTAAACCTGTTTCACCTCGGACATGTGGTTACAGAACAGAGGATGATCACATTTTCATCCGAAAAAAATAATTTCTGAACACACCATATGGCCTCGGGAAAAAATGCACGGAATCACCAACATAGACTATCATTCTTAGGGGAATTATTTAAAGGTCACACAAATTTACACAGTCTGTTTGAAGCCCGTTTGATGAGAGGGAGAGAAAAACCATTCAATATTGCAAAGTAGAGAAATGCAACTATTTCAGTATGTATGCGTTTGGATACATATTCTTGCTGATTATTTTCACAAAAGACTCGGATCATTGCCTATCCTATCCACCACTTTTTCTTCCTTTAATCATACTTATTTCATGTTAGGGGTGATGACCTCACTCTTGTAGATTTCGCCAGTCACGTGAGAATTTAACATGCGTTCGTATCAAACAGATTGTTGTTGGCGTATTTACTGGACTCGTAACACTACTCGTGATCAAAGATGAGCATTTCATTTTTATCATTTTTATCTGAAACAACATTAAACTATCACCTCATTGATAAGATTTTTTCACTCTATTGAGAAAAAAGATCAGTGAAGTAAAAATAGTATTGCAATGGGGACCACCGAGGTTTACCGAGTTATCAATTCAGTGAGAAATTGACAACTTGTATACATTCAATATCCTACTGTTTTACTTGATAATGGGGTCGTATGTTGAAATAAGAACGGGAAAATCAATATAAGAGTTTAAAGGTGAGGATCATTTTCGAGTTTCTAAGATGATAGCTACTTTAATAGCAACTAGAAATAGAGTTAAATAAGATGGATGCACCTGGTCCAATTTAGATGGAGATAAGTCTAAGCGGAATTGCTTCAATGGAAAACGGAATTGAAAAATTCGATGCAAGATTTAGTAGCAACCAGTTGAATGAAAGGAAACTAGTGAACTTTCATCCCTTCTGTTGTAACTGTTTATTTTGTAGATTAGCTCCCAATTAAATTATTTCCTCTATTACGAATAAATATCATCAAACATATATATGAATATACGAGAATGCGAATCAAGTTTGTATGGAAATTATAATTATCTTCATTAACATTTCAAAAGTTGTGAACGACAACACCTATTCCCTGATCGTATTGTCTTTGTTGTGAGATCAATCCGATTTTTAAAAAAGCATTTGGTAAAAAGCTGCTCACTCTACGGCTGAAACATCATTTCCAATGCTGCGATGGGGAGCTTCTTTGATATGCAATATTATCGGATACTTTAAAGCCGAGGTAGTAGGGGCAATAGTAGTAGTAATAATAGTACTAGTATTAGTAGTATTGAAGAGGCTTATGGCGTCGACTTCATCTAAATAATTTATCATAGACTTGCTCTTAACGC